CAGCAGCTCCAGGAGACGTACGAGTTCACGGCCAACGTGGCGCGGCAGGAGGAGAAGGTGAGGAGGAAGGAGAAGGAGATCCTGGAGTCGAAGGAGAAGCAGCAGAGGGAGGCGATGGAGCAGGCCGTGGCCCGGCTGGAGAGGAGGCACTCCGCCCTGAGGCGCAGCGTCTCCCTCGACCCCGACGCAGAGGAGCAGAGGAGCAAGAGCTCTGTCGCCAGGACGCCGAGGACGGGGGCGGAGCTGGACCAGCAGAGGTTTCTATGGAAACGGATTCCGACCGGTTTAATCCGGCAGCTGCACATTTCATTTATTCCTGCTGGGGCTTTTATTTTGAAGGCTCACTGTGTGTTTCGTGTGCAGAGTGCAGCGCGAGATCCAGAAGCTGCGGCAGCGAATCAGCGAGGGCGACGACACCAGCCGGACGCACTCCATCAGCGGCGACGAGCGGGCGGGTCACGGCGGCTCGCCCGCCAGTCACATCCAGGGCCTGAACACGCTGCTGCCGCTGTCCGACGACAGGTACGCACCAAGCCCCGCCTCACTCTGCAGGGACCGCCTCCCCGTGTTCACTGTGTGTGTGTGTGTGTGCGCCCTGCAGGATAAACGCCTACATCGAAGAGGAAGTCCAGCGGCGGCTACGCAAGATGAACCTCCTGAACGGCAGCAGCATGGATCTGTCTCTGTCCACAGAGTCGCTGCGAGTAAGAGGCACCGCACTCTTCATCACGCCCACATTTAACCTGCAGAGCGCCCGGGGCCTCTCAGCCCGAGAGCGGCGGTCGGCGCGTCCTCCGATTGGGTCGTTGGCACAAATCTGATCCAGTCGCCTCGAGGCGCTTCATCCCACCGCTGACACTCGTTTTCAGAGTAACACTGACCTTCATTCAGCTTTTACTCTGAAATTCTGATTGGCAGTGTGATTGATTAATTGTCAGGTTGATCAGAATTTAGCTTTAAAAACTCAAATAAAGGTTTTTAGTCCAGCGGCTTCATTGTCGTTCCAACCATGTGCAGATTTTGCTTCCTGTCGTCATCTCCAGCAAAGTTCGGATGAATAAATCCAGGTTTCTCTGTAGAACTGATGTTTAGCTCTTTGACCCTGCAGGAGGAGGAGGAGGAGGTTAGCGACTGTAGCTCTGTTAGATTGACAGATGAGGTAAGACCAGGATCCTGCAGCCTTCATTCCCACCATCAGACTTTTCCTGCTCTCTAATCTGCACGAGTCCCAGATGTGCTTTGATTTCCTCTCCCTGGGTTTCATTTATCCTGGGTTTATTTAACCGGTCTCCTTTTTCCTGTCATCACAAATAACGACTATGAAAGAACACGATGCTTTTTACTTTGTCCACATTATGTTTGGAGACACTGACGTTTGTTTTTATTGTTTTCAGGAGGATGAAAAGCTCCCAAACATTAATCCGAGGAAGCTCAAGTATCAGGTAAGACCAGGGCCGAATCCTGCCGCGGTCTTTATCTCTGCATCGTGTTCCAGATGTGCCTCATGCATGCCCTTAATTTAATCAGACTATCCTAAGGTGATAAATATGCTTTTAATTTGAAAGGAGACAGAGAATGGGCTTTCTCTTTAAATGTTCAAACAGAGAAGCGAATGTTCCAGCTGCGGCGTTTAACCCAGAGGTTCAGCCGAGGGTTCGAGGGATTAGTTATCTTTTTAAACCCC